CAACAAAATAACAAAATATATATAAAAAACAATAAAAAAATTCTCACGACGTTTCGACCATAACTCAAACGGTCATCATCAGGTGTGTCGGTTTGCATAAATTTATTTTGAAAACGGCATATGTATTTATTTATATAAAAAAAATAACGTTTGCGTCACGCGCAACGATTGGCAGTTTGCCAGGACTAGTCCATCTATTTTTTGAAAAGAGGAGGGGGGAGACGAAATTTGTTTTTATGTATGCTGTCTGAAAGCCACTGTAAGCGTGAACAATCAATCAAGAACTGAAATGATTTATCAAATCTTTCCAATGATTGCTAAGATAGAATCCATCTTCTCGGTTGAAATTGTCTCTGTGCTTGTATATGTGGATAGCCTCATGAACGAATCTCTCATGGAAGCCAGATGGCTTACAAAGAACCTCCGTCTTGGAAAAGTCAATGGCATGTGAGCCTACTGAATTAGAACAATGATCTGCTATGGCCGAGGTGTTGGTCCTACCGTGTTTAAGGTCTGCTTTATGTTCACGAATGCGGTCCGAGATATGGCGTTTGGTTTCTCCAATGTAACTACTACCACAGAGGCAACTTAGTTTGTAGACACCAGGGTATTGTATGTCCGGAATCACATCTTTTACAGACGGAACCAGATCACGGATTTTATGTAATGTGTTGAAACGGACCTGGATCTTGTGTTTATTCAAGATTTTGGAGATCTTTTTTGTGATCCCAGCAATGTAGGGTAAAGTGATGGTTTTGAAAGGCTCCTCAAGAGGGTTTTTCTTCATGGTTTGAGTGATAGCTTTGCGGATTGTATAGTCGGAGTAACCATTAGCCCTAAGAGCTTGGTGTACGTGCTTGAGTACACTGCTTATGTGTTCCTGGTCGGATATGCATTGGGCTCTATGATACAGAGTCTTGATGAGAGAATTCTTCTGTGATGGATGGTGGTGGGAATCCGGTTTCAGATAAGCATCCGTATGGGTAGCTTTCCTGTAGACAGAGTGGCTCATTGAACCATCAGGTCTCTTTTTAATTAGGACATCCAAAAAAGGTATCTTGCCATCTATTTCAACTTCCATGGTAAATCTGATGGCTGGGTGTATGGAATTGATGTGGTCGAAGAATTGGTCTAGAGCAGGCCGGCCATGTGGCCAGATGACAAAAGTGTCATCCACGTACCTCTTCCATAAGGTTGGGCGCAGAGTGGCAGTCTGGATGGCGTCAGTCTCAAATTTCTCCATGAAAATGTTAGCTATAACTGGAGAAAGGGGGGAGCCCATTGGGGTGCCCTCAGTTTGTTTGTAGAAAGTTCCATTCCAAGTGAAGTATGTATTGGTTAAACAGTGTCTCACCAAGGGGGGTACCTCAGTGTTTAGTCCTTGATGAACCAAGTCTTCAATGATTGCAATGGTGTCAGGTACAGGAACCTTGGTGAATAAGGAAACTACATCAAAACTGACAAGCAGGTCGTCTGGGGACAGGGAAATACCCTTGATTGTTGATACCAGGTGAGTAGAATTTTGTACCGCAGAGGTGGTTTTTCCAGTGAAAGGACGCAGGATTTCAGACAAAAAAACGAGCTAGTTTGTAGGTGGGGGAGCTGATAGTAGAGACTATGGGACGAAGAGGTGTATCAACTTTATGTATTTTTGGTAAGCCGTATAATCTTGGTGGCCTGGCAGCAGAAGGTTTCAACGAAAACTGTTTAGATTGATCAATTAATGCGGTTGAATCAGAAATTATTTTGTTGGTTTGTGTGACGAGGCTGTTGGTGGGATCTCTTTTTATTTTTGTATAACTACCATCGTCGAGTAATTCTTTAATTTTGTTGTTGTATTCTATTTTATCCATGATAACAGTAGCGTTGCCTTTGTCAGCTGAGAGAACTACAATATCATTCCTCTTTTTTAATTTATATAATTCAAAACGCTCATCTTTGCTGAGGTTGCTAGCTGGCATCTTAGCGTTTTTAAGGGTTGCAGCGATTTCAGATCTTGCCATCAGATTTACCATGGAAGTCGAAATAGATGGCAAGATACCTTTTTTGGATGTCCTAATTAAAAAGAGACCTGATGGTTCAATGAGCCACTCTGTCTACAGGAAAGCTACCCATACGGATGCTTATCTGAAACCGGATTCCCACCACCATCCATCACAGAAGAATTCTCTCATCAAGACTCTGTATCATAGAGCCCAATGCATATCCGACCAGGAACACATAAGCAGTGAACGCAAGCACGTACACCAAGCTCTTAGGGCTAATGGTTACTCCGACTATACAATCCGCAAAGCTATCACTCAAACCATGAAGAAAAACCCTCTTGAGGAGCCTTTCAAAACCATCACTTTACCCTACATTGCTGGAATCACAAAAAAGATCTCCAAAATCTTGAATAAACACAAGATCCAGGTCCGTTTCAACACATTACATAAAATCCGTGATCTGGTTCCGTCTGTAAAAGATGTGATTCCGGACATACAATACCCTGGTGTCTACAAACTAAGTTGCCTCTGTGGTAGTAGTTACATTGGAGAAACCAAACGCCATATCTCGGACCGCATTCGTGAACATAAAGCAGACCTTAAACACGGTAGGACCAACACCTCGGCCGTAGCAGATCACTGTTCTAATTCAGTAGGCTCACATGCCATTGACTTTTCCAAGACGGAGGTTCTTTGTAAGCCATCTGGCTTCCATGAGAGATTCGTTCATGAGGCTATCCACATATACAAGCACAGAGACAATTTCAACCGAGAAGATGGATTCTATCTTAGCAATCATTGGAAAGATTTGATAAATCATTTCAGTTCTTGATTGATTGTTCACGCTTACAGTGGCTTTCAGACAGCATACATAAAAACAAATTTCGTCTCCCCCCTCCTCTTTTCAAAAAATAGATGGACTAGTCCTGGCAAACTGCCAATCGTTGCGCGTGACGCAAACGTTATTTTTTTTATATAAATAAATACATATGCCGTTTTCAAAATAAATGTATGCAAACCGACACACCTGATGATGACCGTTTGAGTTATGGTCGAAACGTCGTGAGAATTTTTTATTGTTTTTTTATATATATTTTGTTATTTTGTTGTTTCTCTTCAACGTGACTTTACCGAAAAAACTAAGAATATGAATTACTGCAGTCACGAAAGCTTTAAATCAAAATTTAAACCTGGTAACCTTAGAAATAGAATGCAATACAACACAGAGAGTCGGCTAACACACCAGTCAACACCCTACCTGGTTGATTACGTTCTTCCAAAGATTGCAAAATTTGAGAGCGAGACAAAACACAGACACAGAGACACATAGGCAGACACAAGCAGAGAGAGACACACACAGAGACACACAGAGAAACAACGCCTCTGTGTCGAGGCCTTAAATAGATAGTGGGGGGGGGGGTAGATAATTAGCGTGTCAATGAGAGAGTTGTGTGAAAATCCTCCCCATAGCGGCCGGAGGAGAGAAAATGGACCTATCCACAATCAAGCATGGCAAATTTTGATTTACAGCTTTCGTCACTGCAGGGATTCATATTCTTGGTTCTTTCGGTAAAGTCACGTAGAAGGGAAACAATTAAACAAAAAAAATATCACGACGTTTCGACTGCAACACAAGCAATCATCATCAGGTGTGAAAATCACAGCAAGAAATTTTGAAAAAAGTGGCGTTTTTTATTGCTTGTGTTGCAGTCGAAACGTCGTGAGAATTGTATTGTTTTATAATTTTTAATTATTCTAATGTTTCCCTTCTACGTGGTGACTTTACCGAAAGAACCAAGAATATGAATCCCTGCAGTCACGAAAGCTTTAAATCAAAATAGATGGACTCGTCCATCTGAATAACTGCCAAATCGCTCTCCGTGGTGCTGATGTAAAAAAAAAGCTCTTTTTTTCAAATTTTCTTGCTGTGGTTTTCACACCTGATGATGATTGCTTGTGTTGGAGTCGAAACGTCATGAGAATTGTATTGTTTTATATTTTTATTATTTTATTGTTTCCCTTCTACGTGGTGACTTTACCGAAAGAACCAAGAATAAGCATGGCAACATTTAGAGAGAGAAATAGGAAGTTTGAGAATACAAACTTAGTAAAATTTGGAAGTGAAATGCAATGCAACACAGAGAGTCGGTTAACACAGAGTTAACACATAGCCTGTTGATTACGTTCTTCCAAAGATTGCTAAATTAGAAGTTGTGTGATTTGTGTGGAAATCGTCCCCGTAATCAGTATTAACTGCGTTTTACTGCTTTTTTTTATTTGGGCAAAACAATTATGTGAACAACGGTACTTCTTCTACACATCGACATGGATATATCGATATATATCTCAGTGCGTCATTACAAGATGCTCACCACAAGTGCCATTGGAGAAACAAATACATTGATATGAATGGAAAATCAATGAACCATCGCAGATATTGTGAAGACAGCAGCGGTCGTCATAACAACCAATGGGAATGAGTTATAGGAAATACCAAATAAGGAAGGGTACAATGGCAGGCGCCAGGAAAAATGTGGCACTTTGCTTAGCTAATAAGTTCGCTAAACAAGACGTCTGGAACACGCATCAGAGTATATACCATGCAGCAACGTGCCCACAGAACATGCACAATCGGTGTGTATAACTACCTCTTGCTGCAACGTGCGGATCATGTAGATATGAACAAAGAAAACGGAAAGCTAAAAAGTGCGCCAAGAAGCATTTGGAGGTGCACGCTTGTAATTGACAATGAGAGGCAGGAGAGGAACACGTGTATTACAGAATAAATGCGCGTTAGGGACATCATATGGACCGTTCAGAAAATAGAGTTGGCTTGGGCAGGACACGTCCTTGGTGTGTGGTTGAGATTAATGACAAAGTGGACGTCCACCATCATGCAGAGGTGCAACGATGTTTTGTTAAATCACAATACCTTGAGAGGTGGCCTTCATGGCGTCGGAAATTGCTCATGACTGATGGCGATGATAAACCTGATGCTGCGTGCCTCCATCGCAGATCACATATCCCGTACGAGTGTTCAAGCTGATGGGCATCGAGACACTGATTCTCACCAACGCAGCTGGAGGCCTAAACCCCGACTACAAGGCTGGGGACATCATGCTCGTGAGAGACCACATCAACCTGCCCGGCCTCATGGGCCTCAACCCCCTAGTGGGGCCCAATGACGAAAGGTGGGAACTAGAACCCTCCTCCCTCCTCATCCCACCACCTCCCTCACTTTGTGGCTGTCATGGGTGCTCTCTCTTTGTTGTCAGCCTGCGGATAACACAACCGTGATTTTAACAGCAGCACTCATTTCAATGAAACTTACAAAAACACCATCTTCACCGCCTCCTAAAATTCCACCACATCCGCTGCCAACTATATCACCATCACAACCTCAATCACCACCACAAACAATTCTACGTCTATTGTCAACACTTCACCACCACCATCAAAAGACAGATTATTCCCCTTATAGCCTTAACAGACTATTGGGATAGCACCACACATGGCCGCCTTTTCCCTCCCTAGTAGTGTTGTTTACACACTGAACCAGGGACTCATTTGAAGCTGATTCAACCTTTGGCGAGGACCAGGATCGGTTCAGGCAATCGTCAATGCTGTCGGCTGTGAGCAAAAATCTAAATCGGGCTGGAATGTCCGTAGCGCAGCGCACTTTGCCGCTGCACCACCACTATCTCCGCCACCATCACAACCATCCCCAAGCACTAGGACGAACCTCCACGTACTCTTCCAACGTCTTTCTGGGCACTATCGCGACACTGCCTGCCCCCCCCCCCCCACTTACATCTGCCACCTCTTTGTACCCTCACCCAGACTGGGCGTGCGCTTCCCATGCTTGTCGGACACATACGACCCGGCCTTGCGGCGCGCGTGCTCGCGCGTGGCGGCGCAGCTCGGCGTGACAGAGTTGGTGCACGAGGGCGTGCTGTGCATGCAGACGGGGCCCTGCTATGAGACGGTGGCCGAGAGCCGCCTCCTGCGAGCGTTCGGCGCCGATGCCGTGGGTGAGTCTCACGGCCACGTGCTCCTCATCTACATATATATACTGGAAAAGGGAAATTTGTGAAATGTGTGTGACTGTTCGAAATGTTTAGCATACTTCCCGACATGCAACAAACTTGAAATGTGGCGTGTGGGTAGCTTCCAGACTGTACACAATGCAAAAAGTATAAAAATAGACTTTTGTATTTCTTTTTTTTTGAGGGGGGCTCAATAATATATTTTGCACGGCAAGCGAGCGGTGACGTCACATCTGTGATGTCACCCGCATGCGGCAGCGTCACGTGCCTGCTGACGTCACACATCCCCCCCCCGCCCCAACCCTCCGCGTAGGCCGTGTGTTAATCCAAGACAAGAATCCAGGTTCCCGGGCGAAGCCGGCTAGTAAAGCTAGTTGTCCATAAAGCGTGCGGCATTGCTTGGCCCGGCGGAGGCAGCGGCGGCAGCAGCAGCGCGTTCGCCCGCTCATTGCAGAGGTTCTTGGTTCGAATGCGGCAGACCGCCCTCCTTAACACTGCAGTGTGTGTGTGTCAACTGTTAAATACTGCATGCCGTCTGCTTCACAGCGGACCGAGAGATGCCCCGACGTCATTTGAAATGAGTTAGCCATTGTGCACCGGCGTCACAGGGTCCATATTTACCAAATTTGAAAAATGACACGAAAAATTACTCAGTTGGAATTGCACTTGGCAGTAACATCGCCCCGCTGCTGTGTCACTCCTGTGGACTGTGTGAAAGACAGCAGCAACTTCCTGCGTGAGAGCCTGGGCTATATAAATGATAGCGTCCCATACAATGTGCAAGACATTAAAATTACATTCAGGGAATCCTTGGTCATTACACGTCATCGCTGATGCAGCATATCAATTCACACAGCACATCACGCTAATGCCACATCAATACTCGCACATGACCACTGTTAAAAAAACATTAGCTCCACCACCACCACCACCATCTACAGCACCACCATTATCACCACTGCACCCACCATCAATATCATCGCTACTCTCATTGCCGACAGTGATATAGCGATAGCTGATCCATTATCACCACCAATATCAGCATCATGCCACCCACCGCTCAGTGCTGTGGTATTGCATGTCCTGCATGCCTGCCATGCCCCACACGTGCCCCATGTATGTACTGTGTCCATGTGTGTTTTATGCGTGTCCCATACCCCATGTCTATCCCGTGTGTCCCATGTCCCATGAGTATCCCATGTTCCATGTGTGTCCCATGCCCCAGTCATGGCCCATGTGTGCCCGATGTCTCACGCGTCCCATCTTGGGTTTCGCATATCCTGGAAAAAACAATCCTCTACCTCCTCTGTGGTACTGGGCGGCAATGACGTGGTGACTGTGAGCAATGCCATGGGGGGAATAGCCAATTCAATCGGTTGACCTGCTCATGGCGATCGTAGCCACTGCAGCGGCCAACGGGGACTATGGTCGGGTGTCAGGGGCTGGTAACCCCTACACTTGAGGCTGCGGTCCCTCAAATATTTGAGGTAGTCTCTCCCTGTGAGTGGCTGGCTGAGGTGCCATCTGTTGAGGAAGTACTGAAGGCAATCCGGAGTCTGAGACCAGGAAAGGCAGCGGGCAGAGATGATCTCCCAAGCGAAATGCTGAGGGAGGGTGGTGTTTGCGCACACACTGCCCTACATGACATCATTATAACAGTCTGGACCACTGGATGGGTTCCACAGGATTGAAAGGAGGCCCTGGTGGTCCCCTTCTTTAAGAAGGGGGACGGAACAGACTATATTCTTGGTTCTTTCGGTAAAGTCACGTAGATAGAAAATAAAAAATAAAATTAAATAAAAAATAAAATTAAATAAAAAAGACATTGAAAATAATAAAAGCAAAAAAGACTTACGACGTTTCAATCGCAACACAAGCGATTTCCATTACTATTTTAAATTTTTATTGTGTTTTTTTACATTTATTCTTTTCAATTTATTTTAAATTTTAATTTTATTTTCTTATTTTTATTTTCTATCGACATGACTTTACCGAATGAACCAAGAATATGAATTCCTGCGGTCACGAACGTTTTAAGTTAAAATTTAACCACACAGACTGTAACAACTACGGGGGCATCTCAATACTCAGTGTGCCGGGAAAGGTCCCTGGCAAGGGGACCTTCAACATCACCTTGCCAGCACGCTGAGGAGGAGCGTGTAAGGGCCCAATGTGGTTTCAGCCAGATAGGCTCAACGGGTGCGACACGAGCTAGAGAAGAGATGCAATATGGAGCTGAGTGGACTTGCCAATGATTGGTACCAGCGGTGTCAAGATCGACGTCTGCGATGCAGTCTCGTGAAGTACGCTACTGGGCAGTTGGAGCCAGTTGCTGCGGGGGCGAAGGGCTATACCCACAACAATGAGTGAAGCACCGGCTGGCTAAAACGCAGCAAGTTGGCACAGCAGGAGACACAGCTGATCCATCCGCGAGTCAACCCATAGCACCCGGGTTCTGTTCTGTGACCCCCTGCCAGCGAGTCTTCGACGCTCCACGTGGCCTTTAAGTTGCACATGGCCTGGCACAAGTGCCGCGGTGACGCCACCGCCCACCAGCTCAGTGGTGAATGGCGGCCGTCATCCCACGTCCCATGCGCGCGTGTGTCACGCGGGTTCCGATGTCACGCGTGTGCGTAACCCCGCGTGCAATATGGCGTTGCAGGCATGAGCACGTTGCCCGAGGCCGTGTGCGCATACCACTGCGGGTTGCGCGTGTTGGCGCTCACGCTCATCACCAACATGGCCGTCTGCAACTACCGCAGCGAGGAGCGCACCAACCACGCCGAGGTGCTGCACACGAGCAGCATGCGCGCCGTCGCCCTGCAGACCCTCGTCAGCGCCGTAGTCGGGCAGCTCGGCCAGTTCCACCGCGGGGGCGGGGGCGGGGGCGCCGCGGCTGCCATCGATTGAAGAGGGGTGGCAGCGGCGGCCGAATGACGCTCAAACGTGGGACCCTGCTTTGATTGGAACGCGAACCTCTGTCAGATTCCGCGCCCTGTTGATCATTCACACTTTGCCCGGAAGGTTGCTGTCCACCATTAGCGATGCCTCTAGTAGAGGTGGTTCTTAAGCTTGACTGCAGCCTGAACCCAAAGTCACTTTAAGATGTTTTCCTTGTTCGTGTTTTTGTTTTTTTTTGTTGCGGTTGCACCCGATTCAAGAGCATGGCTCACAGGGCTATACCAACATAAATGAAACTATGAACTAAACCATTGGCTCTCGGAAAGGGCATCTCGCATCCCAGGTTAAGAACCACTGATCTAATACTATGCTCCGTTTCTCACAGTCGAGGTATTCTTCTTCAATGTTTGCAGTGTTTTGCAATGGGCATCTTTACTGCACTTAGCCTTGTAGGGGCGCCACGGTATGCATGGTGTATTATTGGTTTTAATCTTAACCCTGACGCCTCTATATTTGGAGTTTGCATGTTCTCCCCGTGGTCACGTGGGGTTTTCTCCAGGTCATCTGGTGTTTCTCTACACATTGAGAAACCTGCGTTTAGAGCATTTGGCTGCTCTAAAGTTCCGCATGTTAACGCACGTTGAGCTATCATTGGTGTGCAGGTCACTTGTGAAAAAGAGCTTCATAGCTCAGTGGGAATTACATGGTCAAAATAAAAAAAAGAGTTAAATAGTTTTCGGGCAACCTCAAGGTAATTTTCCTTAAATGATTTATTGCGTAATAATAATAATAATAATGTCGATTTTAACGCACCCCGCAGTATTTTCTCTCTCGTAGAGATCACGACTCGGGTCTAAGGAGGGGCCACAGATGAGCGGGAGGGCAGCAGACAAGGCGGTAAAGAGCCAGCGCTACCACTAATTTCCAAAGCTCTGCAGTCCTCTATCGGGAGAAATGCCGAGGCTAAGGAGTTTATATAAGTGTGGACGTCAGGGACTGGGACGTGAGAGAGGGGGGAAGAGAGCTACGCTACAGAGACTGCAGTTACAGCCGCTGTTGGCGCCCCAAAGCAAAAACACATTCTCCTGCGGAGGGGGCTGGTACGAACGTTGGGTTGCTCGGTCAATGGCCAGGGTCAACGGCGGCGGCACCACGTGGTGCATTCCGCAAATACGCCCGACTGTGAGGGCGGGCACAAGCCGGCATGAGTAGGTGAAACGTTGAGATTTATAAGGGCACCACGGGGTGACCAGCCCCTCCCCACCCACCCAGCCCCTCCCCACCCTCCCCTCCCCACCCAGCCCCACCCTCCCCACCCAGCCCCTCCCCACCCAGCCCCTCCCCACCCAGCCCCTCCCCACCCAGCCCCACCCCTCCCACCCCCCCACCCCTCCCATTTTTGGTTGCACGACGGACGGACGGACACAATAATCCCCTGTGGGCTGGTGGTGGTGGTGTAACCAGGAGGCTCCAACCAGTAATAGCAGCACTGTTAAACGCTGCAATTGACTCGGTAAAATAGACGAGTACCTGTCACACCAATTCATCTTGTTACTGAAATGCCCCACGGAGGCTGGTGACGACTGCGGCACTATCTCAGGCGGTGGCTCAAAGCCTCTCAGGAGCGGCTGCTGTTGATGCTTTTCTCTGCGAGTGTTCGGTTTACGCTTCGTGGCACTCGCAGCTCAACTAGGACATGTAAGCCATCTGGATACCATGAGAGATTCGTTCATGAGGCTATCCACATATGCAAGCACAGAGACAATTTCAACCGAGAAGATGGATTCTGGCTTAGCAATCATTGGATGGATTTGATAAACCATTTCAGGTCCTAATTGATTGTTCACGCTTACAGTGGCTTTCAGACAACATACATTAATTTTTCGTCTCCCCCCTCCTCTTTTCAGAACATAGATGGACTCGTCCTTCTAAATAAACTGCCAAATCGCTGCGCGTGGCGCTGGCGTTGGCGTTTTTAAATAAATAAATAAATGCATCTTTAAAAATAAATAATTTATGCAAACCGACACACCTGATGACGACCGTTTGTGTTATGGTCGAAACGTCGTGAGAATTTTTATTGTTTTATATATATTTTATTATTTTATTGTTTCCCTTCAACGTGACTTTACCGAAAGAGCTAAGAATATGAGTAGGACACGTTCGTCAAAAAAAGACAGGACCATGTAACATAGGCGGCGTGATGCGAGAAAAAAAACTACTGAAGGCAACTGAGAAATGAATTGCAGAAGACACGGGCCAAAGTGACCGGGATCAACGTGAAGTCATCTCGACGGGGCCCCTCCTGCCTCCACTTGCCGCTGTTACGGAGCAGCGGACGGCAAGTCTCAGCGTTGGGCTTGCTTGCGTTGTTGGATGGTTGGCGAGTCCTTAGCTGCGCATGGTTGTCTTACAATGAGTCCGCAGAAGGGCGATGTTGCTGCTTTCGTATGTGTGGACTGTGCACAGGCAACGTAAATCACGGGCCAGGCGGAGAGTATGTGACGCGTACTGTGACACACACACACACACCACACCACGTGGACATGAGGGGCCGTCCATAAATGACGTCACGCGATTTTGGAAGATTTTTGACCCCCGTCCCGCGTCGTCACACGGCGTCACAAAGTCAGACCCCTCCCCGCCCCTCAAATATGACGTCACAAAGCTCTGCCCCCCCCCCCCGCCCCCAAAAGCATATTTCCATTTTTAAAATAAAACACGCTTCAAATCGCTTTTAAACTATCGTCACTGTAGTTGCGTATTTAATGTGGCGCTGCACTCTGACGTTGTAGGAGTGTTGTTATAACAATTGGCGTTGTTATAACAATTCTATATTCATATTTAAAGTTGCGCATTTTGACGTGACGTCACATTTCTCAACCCCCCCCCCCTCATCACACATCGTCACAAATGTCTGACCCCCCCCCTCCACCCCCAGGTGCGTGACGTCATTTATGGACGTCCCCTTAGTGCACGCAGTGTTGATTATAATCTGCCCTTCGTAGAAGGGGAGGTGGTGTAGGTTTGGAGTAATTAATAATTATTCATTGACCCCATTGTTTCTGGGAGGGAGGGGGGGTGGTGTAGTGGTCTATGTTGGTGCGGAGCGTCAGATGGTCGAGGCACTGGCTGGCCGAGGCTCTGTCTTATCAGCGGCTGTTGCTGCTGCTTGGCCTGACATTCTGTGTTACCTTCTGTATGAATAAAGTCCAATCTGCATGTACGTCTCAAAAACTTCTCGGGTATTCTCGATTTGAAGCTTTTCGTGACTGCAAGGATCCATACTCTTTGGTTCTCCCCACACAAGCTTAAAGGACCGCGACCTGGGCTTGGCTGTCTTCACTCCAACGCTGTCCTCTGGACAGCACGGTCCCTTCACCTGATGAAGGACACTTGTGTTGTGGCCGAAACATCGTGATTTATTTTTTATTTTTTTTACCTACGTGACTTTACCGAATAGAACCAAAGAGTATACTTCTAGGGTACTTCGCAAGGTCACGGATTTTTATTTTTTAATTCACGTATTTTTTTTATTTTTTTTAAGGCCCCCAAAATCCCAATTTGAAGTGACCCATAAACGTGTCTGTGCGTATCATTCAGAAACCGTTCAAAATATAAGATTTAGGTTGTTGTTTTTTTTCGTTTGATAGGGCGTTAAACAGCAAATACAATTCAAGCGAAAATCCATCGTTCTTGAATTGTTTTTGAGATATTTCGGATTCAGGCGGTTTTCAACGAAAAAAAGACGCATTTTATGATGTTCAAATCTAAACACAGTAATTCGAAAACGGTCAAGGATGGAAGCTTCTCCCCAAGAGTATTAAATTAATAAAGTTTTTTTTTCTAATAAATAACGGAACCTTTAAATTGAGCGATTTCTTATGGGCACGTTTTTTTTAAATATAAGAAGTTGAATCAAGTGGGTCAAAGTGTCCGATTGTAGATACAAATTGTAACAAAAAATAATTAGTTTCGTTATATTATTGGTTCTTTCGGTAAAGTCACCACGTTGAAGGGAAACAATAAAATAAATAAAAAACAATAAATAATTTATTATTTTATTGCTTCCCTTCTACGTGGTGGTGACTTTACCGAAAGAACCAAGAATATGAATCACTGCAAGTCACGAAAGCTTTAAAATAAAAATTCAGCTTCCGTTATGTTTACTGGAAAAATTGTTGACGGGCATTGCAAACTGGCGTGTTTTAAACAAACCTGCAGATATACTAATAGGTTTTTTACCCTTTTAACTGGCACAAAAAACTGACATCTTTATTCAAGGCATCATGTTTGCAATAACCACAACACAAGCAGTCACAATGCAGGTGGTAAACCGTGGTAGGCGAGGCTCTGCCGCACGCAGTGGCAACTCAATGTGCCCGTGACCTGAATGCCCTCAACACTGCCCATGCCCGCTTGGTTCGTGCCCAGCACATTGCCACGCGTGCCTGGGGCTTCCCAGCGACAAAACCCTGGCTCGCTGTGGCTCTGCTCCTCGGTCAATGGCTGCACCTGCTCAGCTCGTGACCCGCCCGCTTGCCTCCTCTCGCCTGGTTCCACTCCGGCTTGTTCAGCTGGGGCCCAGTTTACTGGCGGTGGCAGCGCAACCGCTTGACTATTGCGCGTTGGTTCTTCCGTGAAAGGTCGCGTCGGTATGAAATGAAATGAATCACGACGTTTCGATCGCAACACAAGCCGACCGTCATCAGGTGGAACAGATGCAGCAGGAGAACTGTTTTCAGGTGGAACAGATACAGCAGGAGAGCTGTTCTCAGGTGGATCAGATACAGCAGGAGAACTGTTTTCAGGTGGAACAGATACAGCAGGAGAACTGTTCTCAGGTGGATCAGATACAGCAGGAGAACTGTTTTCAGGTGGAACAGATACAGCAGGAGAACTGTTCTCAGGTGGAACAGATACAGCAGGAGAAGTGTTCTCAGGTGGTACAGATACAGCAGGAGAACTGTTCTCAGGTGGAGCAGATACAGCAGGAGAACTGTTCTCAGGTGGAACAAATACAGCAGGAGAAGTGTTCTCGGGTGGAACAGATACAGAAGGAGAACTGTTCTCGGGTGGAACAGATACAGCAGGAGAACTGTTCTCAGGTGGAACAGATACAGCAGGAGAGCTGTTCTCAGGTGGAGCAGATACAGCAGGATAACTGTTCTCAGATGGAACAGATACAGCAGGAGAAGTGTTCTCAGGTGGAACAGATACAGCAGGAGAGCTGTTCTCAGGTGGATCAGATACAGCAGG